ACTAGTAGCAGAACAAGACTCTGTATCGGGAACCATTGTCGACCATATAGCGAGAATTTGATTCGGTGAATCGCAAACGAGAAAAAATAGTTGATAGGATGCAAAAGATTAGATTCAGAAGCGGAAAAACTGTTGTCAATTTTCAAATTTTTTTATTCCATCTCTATTCAATTAGTGATATTGATACGATGAATCGAAATGCATTGTCAGATGTAATCTCTTGCCTAAATTTAACAGTCTCACTTCTCAACGAATGCTTCCTCGATGAGTTTAAATCAGTCCTAAATATTGCCCAGTGAACAAAGTCACTAAGCTTAGACGAAAATGCCGAGCAGTGATCGTTTCTCATTTCGTCTTATCTCGTTTGTTTTCGTCTTAATCGTTTCTTCACATTTCATCTCGTTTCGGAGCACTTGATCGTTCACCATCTCATTTTTTCACTGAGAAATTAAAAAACTAGCATTAACAAAACCTTACCTAAATAACGTTCATCCAAAGTTAGTACGCAAGTAATAGAAGTCCAAGCTGAACTTTTAAGTTTTCAAGTAATCTAAGTTCCCGATCAGCACTGGATCATTTTCAAACCAATCAAATTGCAAGCCCACAACTCTTTGTTATTTTGCGATCATTAAGTTGATTTAGAATCAAAAAGCCTCACTTCAAGCAGACCGATAGAATTGAAATCTAAGCTGAACAGATGTAATCTGATTAAGGTTCACTTATTTTCATCGCCTTTAAACGTGACATTTTTATCCGTACGTGCGATACCAGATCATATCACCGTTGCTGTGAGTGCAGTTCGATTCTCTTGTGTACCCTTCGATCCAGTATATAGACAATGTAAGGGATATCATCCGCAGATTTGTATTGCACGAACATTGTTCTGTGACGGGTACGATAATTGTGGACGGAGTAATGACGAAAAGGTTCGCTTGCACAATGTTTAATCGAATCTTTTGTTAAGTTCATTTGATTTATTAAATAAAAAAACCTATTGCAAGTGAAATGTTACACCCACCAACGACAACAATAAATTCGTTTTTCATCTTTAAACAACTATCTGAAATTGTTTCAAATCGTCGATCCGAATAATTTGATTGATTTTCGCGTTCAAAATATATCACCAAATGCACGGCTTTAGATTTGATGAAATGATACCCGAAATTTTAGTGCATAAGGATTTGTTAGGATCTAAAAATGGTCAGAGCATCATGTCAGTGTGCTAATTCATCTGACTGAATACGACGAAATCAATGAAATATCAAAAGAATTTCATGATATTGAATGATATTTCAGGACTGTGACCCAGATGATCAAGAAACGTATACACAATTAACAATAACGATATTGGACGATCAAAATGAAATTCCACGAATTATTATTTGTGTGGTGGTATTGATAATTTTAATGTGTATTTTCTGTTGTGTTTACATATGGCGTTATCGCATTGTGCGGAGACGTAAATTCCAATCGAGATGTTTGAGAAAGATGTTGGGTTTAGGTGAGAGTGACCATCACGAAAATCAGGATGAAACTGTAGCGCTGCTGGCGTATACACTCAGTACCCAGTGGCTACCTTATATGAACAACAATGTCAAAAGTAATAATCACAGATGATGCTTCACGCCTTTGCTATCAATGANATTGACGACTCCATTGAGATCCAATGAGATCAGTCATGAATCAGATCTCAGCTCTTGAAGCTCCCTCAGGATTGCTAGGAAAATGGCGTAATATTGAGCAAAATTGATGACATTCTGTGTTCATGGCTTTAGTGGTTCAAACGACTGATTATTAAGGAGGTATGAGAATTGTGATTGTATCAACAGTCAAAAACTTCGTCACATTCGGTTGCGTTATGCGTGCATCGGATAGCGTCAACAACCTCGATTGTACTTAGTCGATGCGTCATTCAAATACAAACAAACATCATTACCATGTTTTAATCGAGCTTTCACATCACATTCGTTTAAAGAATCATCTGTGATTCAAGTTCCTAGTGTTGCTAACTGAACCCAACACACCGATACTCGAATTTTGTTAACTTATAAATCGAAAGAATTCGTCAGTTGGCATGAAAGAGCACTTTTGCTCTTTACTCCTCAATGCAATAATCGATGAAGATTGTTGTTCTGTTCGAATATTTGCATGAATTAATATTTCCTAGCCTGCAGCTAACCAGGAAGAATTGTCGTTCTTTACAGAAAATGTTTCGTTATAACAGAGAATTTTTGGTTATCTGTATTCAACGATGTTTCGTTCATTTTGATGAATTATTGGCATTGTTCAATTTGTTTGTCCAGGTTCAATTATGCATGTGTTTGTGCCAAAAACTATCGTGAATAAAGCCTTTTTGTTTATTTTTAACCACATCTTGAAATTTGATCAGCCACTCCCACGCAAATGACCTTATCACATGAACATTCTCTTACATATACTTTTGCATCATCAAAGAGTGAAACTGATGAAAAAG